ATTTAGCTCAGCGGCAAAAGCGCCTGCCTGGCAAGCGCAAGGTCATGAGTTCGGTTCCCGGTACCGGAGAAAAACCAAAAAAAAAAAAAAGAGAGAGCAGGAGGGCGGGTAGGTGGGAGATGACGGTGCTGAAGGGTCATCAGCAAGAGCAGACGGAGGGCAGGAGGAAATGTCACTGACACAGTGGTTTTTTGTTTTTTGAGACAGAGCCTTGCTCTGTAGTACAGGCTGGCCTTGAACTTGCAGTGACCCACCTGCCTCTGGAGTGCCACCGTGCCTGGCTGACACAAGATTTTGGATAGATTCGATTCTGTCTACCCTCTTGAAAAAAAAAAAAACGATCCAGGGATGTCTGAGTAGAATTACACTATCACACTGAACAAGCACACAGCGGCACAACTGTGACAATGCCCAGCAGACACGTGAGCTACTTCTGCAAACTGTTCACTTCTACGAGTGTTCAAAAAGGGAAGTCCCTTGGTACCTGTGAGTTCCCACCTCCAACGTTCCTAAGTCGGGGACTTACTATGTACCTTCATATATATTTACATTTAATTATTTTGGAAGGGGCGCGGGGGGGTGGAGGTATAGGTTGGTTAAAAGACGGAGTGAATGGCTTATTTGTTGAAACAATTACGATTTCCAAGTTCATGGAGAGCTGACCTCACCAATAAATAATTTACATCGTAGACTGCAACATCCACCCCTGAAAGTCCATCGACCTTCTAAAACAGGCTCCTATCTCTGTTCAATAAAAATAATTTGCAAAAAGCCTTCTACAAAAGTCCAGGAAGTTTATTTTTAATGAGTTCTTTCGTTTTAAAGCTGCACAAGTTCCGCCTTCTATGGGTGTGTTTGGCTGTGGTTAGATTTTGGGCAAGCTCACGGTAGAGAAAGCAGCGCAGATACGGGGTGAGGGGATGGGTGTCCTGCACTGGATGACGGCACAGACCTCACAAGCTCGAAGCCTTCACTCTGGATATTTCCTCGACTCCTGCCCCAGCGTGCAACTCACTGTAACCTCTACCTCGGTGGTTTCTACCACGATCCACTCAGTTGCCCAAACCAGAAACAGAAGTAATGTCTGTAATTTTTTTTGTCTTTTTGAGACAGGGTCTCCCTATGCAGTTCAGATTGGCCTTGAGCTCACTTTGTAGCCCAGGCTGGTCTCGAACTTGCAACGATCCTCCTGCCTCAGCCTCCCAAGTACTGGGATTACAGGCGTGCGCCACCAGGCCCGGTACTGTCTGTCATTTTTCTTTCCTTCTCTTTTCCATAAAATCCAGTAGGTTCTATTTGTGAAGAGCCTCGTTTTTCACGCCTCTGCAGCCTCCTCTGCGAGTGACCCGCTCCCACCGCACGTCTTCCTTTGCCTGGGCTCCAGCAGCAGCAGCTCCCGCCCGCCCCATCCCGCAGAGGCTCCTTCGTGAGGGGACACCCAGGCCCTGATCGCTTCTCAGCAGCCTCCCGCGCTTGGCTTACGCGGATTTATGTACCTCTTCAGTAAAGTTGTCTCTCCAACCGTCCACGTCCACCCTAACGGGGTCCCCACCCCACTTGCAGTTCACACTCTCTGGGCTGGGTCTCTGCGCGGCCTTGCTCACACCCCCAGATTCCTCCTCGACCGCCTTCTCATCCTCCCGGCCGCTCACTCCTCCCCGACGCCCCGAGCTGGGGTCTCCCCCATCGCACCTCGGCCCCCCGCGGCCCCGTCACCCGGCCCAGGCCGCGGCCTGGGGTACCCGGGCCTGCGCCCCCGACCTGCCACGTCTCCCGCGGAGCGGCAGCCACCTCCTCCCCAC